CACAACAGTAGTGTTAGTCGCATTGAACATTACATTCTCATAATATTAATAAACATACTGGAGATAGTATTACGAGAGAAAGCCAACGAAAAACCATGCACAAAAATCTTGCCAAGAAACTTCTAGACCTAAATATAACACCGAAATGAAACAATTTTAATTGAGAAATAGGCTTATGGTCATTAAATTTTGCGAAGCCATACATACATCTGAGGTACTCTCTGTTGGGAGGAAAAAAGTTTGAAATTATATAAAAGATGCTCCGCTTACATTGCAAAAAATTCTAAAAAACTTTTCTACTTTAGATAATAATAAATTTTCGTTTGTTTTAATTAAACTGCTTCCAATGAATTCTCTTTTAAGTTGTTAATCATGATTTCAGAAACTAAAAAAAACACAAACACACCAACAAACACACACAAACAAACACACACACATACACACCAATAAACACACACACAAACACAAACAAACCCACAAACAAACACACACACATACACACCAATAAACACAAACACAAACAAACACACAAACGAACACCCTATTACGAAGTTATATAAGTATCAAAAAACTTCAGATAAATGAACAGACACGTTTTGTATACACTTCTACATACACAAACACACACACAAGCACACACACACAAACACATACACACGCATGTAAAGACACATACACACATACACACGCATACAAATGTTTACTATGACTCTGAAATAAAGATAAGGCAAGGTGAAACTAACTAGGTTATATTCTATTCTGTCATCATCGTGAAACTGTTTTCTTCTGCATGTATGTCACAAACATTTTTTTTTTAGAAAAAATTTCTTTCCGAAATAATTTAATAAAAAAAATTTATATGACAAATTTGACATTATTATGAAATTTATGATTATTTATAAAAATAAAAAATGTGACATAATGTGACACTATTATAAAATTTATTATTATTTATTTATTATTATTTATTATAAAAATAACTTTATGTTCATAAATTTAATACAATTTATGAACATTTTAACATTTTAAGTTTCGTTCTAGGATGGTTACAGCCGCTTCTAACTTTATTATTCAATTTAATTAGGTTATATAAAAGTGGAAACACCTAAAAACACAAAAAACACACTGACACACACAAGCACTCGCACACAAACAACAAACACACACACACGCACACCAAACAACAAACACACACACAAACAAACACACACAAACAAACACACACACAAACACACACACACACGAAATGCCCATTGAAGCTAAACTTCAATTTTCTTTTCTTCTTAATGCTCGGATGATTTTCTGATTGTTTATATTCATCATTCTTCAGTGCTACAACATTAAAAGATGCCTGCTCACTCGCGCCAGCCCTACTGGCATAAATAATTGTAATGTAGAAAAAGTTGTTTGACTTGGACAAAGCTGGGTTTGTTGTAATGGAACGTGATGAGAATTTGTAGCTAGCAAGTATGAATTGAACCTTTCGACAAAATTGAAAAATTTGAAAGAGTTTAAAATGTTAGGCAAAATATATCTGGAAAAAATCTGAGTTTTGAAAATTTAGTGATTTATATAATGTGTATGTGATTCGTTTTTTTTTTCTTACATTCTCTCTCTCTCTTTTGCTCTATTTTTCTTTTTTTAATTATATTTTTTCTATTTGCATAAATAAACAATTCTAAATATAGAGATAAATAAATAGAGAAAGCAAACCAGCAGATGCAGTAAGAATATCTTTCCTTATCTCACAGCATCATCTTTGCTTGCAATTTTATACCCAGAAAACTGCTTCCCAGCCTCAGCAATTATCGGGTAATGGCGTACATACAAATATGAATGTTGGAAATAAAAAAAGGGGTGCAGTCAGTCAGGAAAGAGCAACTGAAAAACAAAAGTTTATATGTAAATTAAAAACAAGAAACACAAAAATAACAAATAAATGTACAGATATTGAAGATTTGTGAGTTTCAAAAAAGTAGATCATCAAAAAAATTTGAATTTTAAAAATTTTTGTATAGTTTTTTTTTTCACCTGTTATACCCAATAAAAATATTTTCAACAATCTTTGAAGCATTTTTCTCGTTCGGCTAATGGAAGCAGTTGCATAGAGATACAGCATTTCTAAACATGACAGATGGTCTGACGTTTCACTGCTGGTTCAATGCATAAAACATTGATCATGTGTGGAGACAACTCTTTAGTTTTGTCATTTTTGTAAGATATGCGTGCGTGGGTGGATATACTTTTCCTCATTCTATTTTAGCTATTTGTCTTTTCACTTATCTTTCATTTGTTTCTCTTTGTTTCTCTCTTCTCTCTCTCTCTCTTTCATTTTCACTCTTTCTCTTTCTCTCTCTCCTCTCTCTCTCTCTCTCTTTCTTTTTCACTCTTTCTCACATGTTTTTCAACATATAAGAACAAGTGTGTGCCTATGATTCCATCTCATTTCTTATTCTCTTACCCTTTCACTTTCAATCCTTCTCAGGTAATATTTTCATCTATATATTTTTTTAATTTTTTCACTTTTTTTCTTTTTCTCTCTCTTCTTACTTACTTTCTCTTTTTTTTCTCTCTCTCTCTATCTTTCTTTCTCTTTCTCTCTCTCTCTTTCCACTCCTTTTAATTTCTTCTTCGTGTGTGCAATATGCAATAGAAAGAGAGAGAAAGAGAGAGAACAAAACAAATGAATAATTGAGAAAGTGAAAGAAAAGTAGAGAAAGAGAGAGAGAGAGGGAGAAAAAGACAAAAATCAAAAGAAAGAGAGAAAGGGAAATAAAAAAAAGAGATAATGCCTTCGATGACTTTGTTTATTTCAACTTGCCATCAGTGCCACTCGCGAAACATGCAAAAAAAGCAAAAAAAGCATCAGCTTTCAATCGCTTCAGGAAAGTTCTTGCTAAACTAGGTTGCATGGTTATAAGAAGTTGCGAAGTCACAGACGCCAGACCATTTTAAAATTAATTTGAGGCTTTAAAAGCAATTATGCAATTTTTCGGGTTTAAAATTTATAGAACTATTAAACTTTTTATTTAAAAATCTAAAAAAACGTATAGAACTCTTAAACTTTTTATTTGAAATTTTTTTCAAGAATGAGAAAACTGATTAAGACAAAATTGTCAAATTATGACTACTGTTTAAAAATTTTATTTTAAGTTTCCACTTTCCTTAGAAAAGGTTCTTTAAAAAATAAAACAACAAAAATATTTTGCACGAAAATAAACATCAACATATCGACAAATTTTTTCACCTTAACTTTATCTTAACTTACATTTACACTGAACAAACACACACAAAAACACACACACGCACACATCCACACACGCACAGACATATACAATGTAGTGAAACACCAATGCTTACTTTAAAAAAAACCTAGCCTTTTAACATCATTTCTTCCAGCTGAATGGAAATCCATGTTCGAATCATTAGCGATAATTGAACTGAAAACTGGCCGAAAAAATCGTTGCTGATAACCTAGATGGAAAAACCTTTCCGTTTGTCTTTGTGTAATTCGGAATGTTTTTATGCCAGCCAGCAAGACAAACGAGCTATTAAAACAACTACAAGACATTTTTTTACATTTTACTTTCATGAGTTGTGTTTGTTCGAGTATTCTTGGCTGAAGATAAATACCATGACGTAGGAGTTGCTTGCCATCAATTTTTTGCGCATGATCGGTTCATATTCTATGATTTTTTATTTTGATCGTCAGCTCTGGTGTGTATAAAAACACAAGATGACACACATCGGTAAAAAATCCGAATTCATTTTGAAAAATGATTCAGTTGAATATTTATATATTTCTATATTCACTATTCGAAATTATGTTAACAAGAAATGCTTACATCTTAAGTAGTTTCCTTAAATTAATATAACGAGACAGGAGGAATAGGGTAACGGTTAAGAGACTTGGTTCTCTTGTTGTAGAAACCGTGTTCGATTTCAAATAAATCCCAGCCTATCATATGCAATATGATAGATGGGTAGATTCAATCGTATTCACGTGTGCTTTGTGTGTGTGTGCGTGTGTGTGTCTGTGTTTATGCGTGTGTGTATTGGTGATATCTTAGAGAATTAAAGAAAACTATGAATAATAATTGATATCAGTGAAATTAACCAAAAAAAATCTCAAATCTGATGCATCTTTATTTGGCAAATTTTCTCCGTGTAGCTGTGCTTGCTGATATAAACGGCCTTTGAGAAACACACATCACGTAATCATAAATGCGAGAAATAATCATAAAGAGGAAAAAATTTAAAGAAACATGAAAAAATTGTTAACAAGAACCTAAAGATGCAAAGCAAACTTATCCCACTGCTTCTAATGGATTCATAAAATACAGCTGAAGCATGTATAAATTCACGCACACACACCCACAAACACATAAACACGCATACATATACATACATACACACATACATACATACATACATACACACATACACACATACATACATACATACATACATACATACATACATACATACATACATACATACATACATACATACATACATACATACATACATACATACATACATACATACATACATACATACATACATACATACATACATACATACACATACACACATACATACATACAAAACGAAACGAAACGAAACGAACGAAACGAAATTTTATTTGATTCCCAAAATTAAAAAGAATTAATTATAAGAATGCAGGCTGACTGTAATCGAGCCCACTAATTGAGCTCATCTAGCACAGCCACCTTTACATAAATGTCTATATTTTGTCAAGATTTTAACAATGATGTTCATACATTAAAAATAAATGTTCAAATTAAGTATGGTCCAAACATAAATATTAGTTCATTATAATATAGTTCAGTTACATTTAATAACTGAAAATCTAAAATAAAATAAAATAATTCAAAATGTAATTTCTATTTAAAATGTAACTTCTAAATGTAATTATTTTTTTTTTCAAAGATTTTAAGTCATCGTATCATTTTTTATCGAGTAGTTGATGCAAATGACTAGTCTCTAACTCGCACATGTTCAGACCAGGTACATTCCTTGTTAATCATATCCGAGTACTTGGCATCCACACAGAGTCGAAAGGAAGTGGAGGGCTGCGAATCATCTGGCTTGACACCATTTTTGTCTTTTTTGAACGCAGGGAAACATGAAACTACTTCCACCTGACTTAACCTGAGATGATCAACTACATCTGACGCTACACATTTTGTCACGTTGCCGATATGAAATATTCTCTTTTGAAAAACTACTTTATTTGCCGTAATCTTCGATTTCGTTGGTGCACGAGAGCCTACAACTACCCTCGGCACAGAATTAGAATTGTCATTACGATTCGGATGATTGTTTCTTTTTTTGCGCTTAACTAAAACAAAATTGTCACATTCCGAATCACTTTCAATTGTAGACTTTACATACATACATACATAAATACATACATACATAAAATGAAAAAATATGGGAACGCCCTCCCCTCGATGGAATTCTTGCCAATATGTATCGAGGTTCTCGGCCCGATGGACCCCAACACCCTTAAATTTCTTAAGGCAATATGTAAAATGATCAGCGTTAGATCAGGCGACAGCAGGGAACTGTTTTTCGCAACTAACCACATTTCGTGCTTGTTGCAGCGGTTCCTTCGCGTCTGTGTGCTTGAAAATATCCAACTGAATGCCGACATGTGCAATTAACGACAAATCAAAGTGTTAATCCATTTGTTACTTGATGTTTGACGGTTCAGTGTCACTCATCATGTTTTGGTTTTAACATACATACACACATACATACATACATACATACATACATACATACATACATACATTCATACATACATACATACATACATACATACATACATACATACATACATACATACATACATACATACATACATACATACATACATACATACATACATACATACATACATACATACATACATACATACATACATACATACATACATACATACATACATACATACATACATACATACATACATACATACATACATACATACATACATACATACATACATACATACATACATACATACATACATACATACATACATACATACATACATACATACATACATACGTACATACATACATACGTACATACATACATACATACATACATACATACATACATACATACATACATACATACATACATACATACATACATACATACATACATACATACATACATACATACATACATACATACATACATACATACATACACAAACACATGCATATACATACAAACATGCATGTATTATACATTCAACAGTTTATTATACGCCTGGGCTTCTTCACGTAGCTATGCTCATGACGAGATTTATTAATTATTTATATATATATATGTACATTTTATTCATTAATTTCAAGAAAACACTTCAGAATTTTGTTTGAAATTTGTTTGAAGATTATGTGAGAACAAGTTTTTTTTTATCAATCCATTAAAATGTTTTTAGTTTGGTGAGAACTTCAAAACTATTCCCCGAAAAATGTAGTATAGAATTACTTTAAAAATTTTTCCAATTCAGTCACTTTTGTACATTAAATGTTAAATTGTTCTAAAATGCGTTGCGCCCTACATGTCACACTTAGCAACAAGTAAAATGATTTCATTTAATTATTTGACGGTGTCATATTTTTCTTCAAGATATTAAATAACTATTTTTTCTCTGTGAAGTTTGAATTTCTTATTTGTCAGCAAATATTTGTCTTTTTTTTAATTCCAAATAATCATTCATCTAGAAATCCAGCCAAAAATATGTGAGGGCTTTTCCTTCTTATTTTTTTATTCAAAATAGAGTTATCTTAATGTCAAAGGCATACCTAAAATTCACTTTTTTTATAAAATTGTCTTTCAACAAAAACTTCTATAATATAAATGATATGTTTTACTAGTTTTTCAGAATTTCATTCTCGCTGTCATCTGATCCGATTAATTATAAAATTTAACCTAAAAACTGTTTTTCTTAAAAATGTTTGCTATGTAACGAACGTGAAAGTAAATTTAGACACTTAGACAGTGTATATATTAATTTTTATTTATATTTTTGCGTCTGAGATTCCGGCACTTTATTCTCCTAAAACAGACGCCACTCTTCAAATGCTTTTTATTATTTAGTCTGACAGTTTTGTATAAAACTCTTGTTGATATTCTTGTTATTTCTTGCCATAATTTTGCCATCTCTTCTACTGTAGAAGTTGATGACTGTCAGATGGTCTCATGCAGTTTCAGTTGATGGTATAAAAAAATAGCCAAGTGATGCTGCCAGTTAATTCAGTCAGAGTACATCCAGGAAGATAAACTAACTTCTGTCTGAGATCTAATTAGGTGCTGCTATATCATTTACAACTGGACGTTATCAATCAAATCAAAACTATAATAACAGTTTCAATCAACCAACTGATCTGTCCATCTAACACGCTGGATCAAGACTAGAAATTAATGATGGTGTCTGCAGATAGACAGGCACGCACATAAGAAAAGGCTGCATGACTCAGCTAATCATGTCGGAATTTATATAAGAAGTCTTGGCTAATGCTTACTAACAATGAAAAGCATTTCTCATTTGTCTCCATCAATCATCATTGCTGATGTCAGCAAGCTTTAGTTAGCATGTAATAATAATTATGTAACTTAGTTATGTGACCAGTGTTCAGCCGGTTACAAAATACTGCATTGTATTACTACAGCTTTCGATATGCAAGAGCATTCAAAGCTGGTATACTTCCAAATCTTCAGTACAGTTGAGCTATCAGTAAATATTGATAAAAGAGGTTGATATTTTGTCCAAATTTTTTCTTATTTTGGGCAAACAAAATTAAGGGGTAAGAAGGTGATATTTCAAAGTGTGTGTGTTAGTCATGGTACTGTTTATCATCATTAAACCGCACATTAATTTATTGGCATTTTTAACATCTAATTTTTTTTTATATAATAATTTACATCGAGTTCTGCGTTTATTGTGTTTGTTATATTATTTCATTATTTTTTTTTATTTCCATATTCTTAAAAATTATAATTTTCAAAGATTTCGCATGAAATGCTTTTGCCAATTTTTTCTCTAATGGACATAAGTAGGAGAAAACCTCTAAGCTCTTTTTTATGGACGTTCTTTAATAATTTTTTATCATTTTAATTGACGTTTTTAATAAAATTTCATGATTTTTTTATTTTTCTCATGGTTCATTTTATTTTTTTGTTTTTATGTTCATGTTGGTAATGTTTGCTTCAAAAAAAAAATCCCATTTCTCTGATGTTTAACAATTTGTATTCATTCATTTTTATTTCAAGAATCTTTTTTTATCATAAAAATTTTTATTTAACTTGTTTTTCTCCCGATATGTAATCACTTTCTACATTATTGGCGTGTAGGTTCACGAATTTAAGAAAATTTACAAGTTTTCACACGTTTTCAGCTGTCATCAAGCAAGCATGGTTTGCAGTAAGGTTTAACTGTAAAAGTACTAGCTTCATAATAAAACCGTTCACTGAACTTATCTCTAGGTTTGAAATGAATGAAGCAAAACTGAAATTGATCGTTTTTTTTGTATTGATAACAATAAAATGAACATAGAAGCCAACTAAATAATGGATAAATCCCTTTTCTTTGAAACTCTTTGAAGTTTCATGTCTACAATTTTTTTAGAAAATTCAAAATAGCAAACAAAAATAGTACTGCTTCTCTTGTAAAAATTTGTTTCTCTACTTTCACTTTTGAAAAAAGTCATTTGCAGACAGCATGGGTGGGCAAACTACGGCCCGCTAAGCTATTTTATGCGGCCCTCGAAGCCTTGTTCGCAAATAAAGGTCGCCAGGAGTCACAAATCTTAAAAAATTCTCCCCTTAAAAATTTGCTATTCAAAAACATATGCGGCCCTTCAAAGGTAAAATAGTTCTCAATACGGCCCTCACGGCAAAAAGTTTGCCCACCCCTGATTTACAGTACACATCAACTGATATTTTTTGGAGTTTATTAATTCATAAGGAATCCAAAATGAAAAAAAGTTAATTAGTTTCTTAGTCTCTTTTTTTAAATGATTTCTTTTCAAATAAAAAAACACGGATTGATCATTTATCTTTAACTTTATTCATTATCACCACAAACATCATCATACATATTATTATAATTAAAATTATTGTTATTATTATAATTGTTTATTATTATTATTATTGTTCATTTTTATTATTTTTCTTATTACCATAGAAGACGGCTAGGTAATAAAAAATTTACTGCCATTCAAGCTTGGAGAACTTGAAGGCTTCCTGATTAGAGCCAAACGAATAAGAATAATAATAATAAAAACGATAATAGTATCAACAATAATAATAATAATAATAACAATAACAATAATAACAATAAAAAAAATCCCCACAATGCAATGCTGTGAAAGTTACGACATGCTGAATTCGAATGAATTGGAATCGATACAGTACGCTGATACGAAGTTGTAATAATAAAAATATTAATTATAACATTATTATTATTATTATTATTATTATTATTATTATCATTATTATTATTATTATTACTATTATTGTTTATATACTGTATAACAAAATTCATTTGTCTACCGCTTTAATATGCGACCGATCTTTAACAAAAATTTATTTCCGATGAAATCCATTCATGTGTATGGCAAAATAATTTGGAATAAAATGTAAGAGAATTTTTTTGATCTGAGTAATTGGAGGTAGTAGTAGATGAATAAATTTTGTTATTTAGTATAAAAACAGTAATAGTAAGCTATGTAATATAACAAGCTGGCAAGTTAGTCAATTTTAATATCTCTTAACGTCAAGAACAACGAACTCCAGCCGCGGTTTCTACATTCGGTTATTTCATTTTCCGTCTCACCTGTTCAATCCGGCCAACATTTTATATCTTCGTATTAACTTAAACATATAGCGGACCTCGAACCCTGACACTTAATGACATACGTGTATGAGGCGACGATTGCTTGCGTGAGATATGTGCGTCGCGTCGTGTGGCGTCGCGTCGTGTGGCGTCGCGTCGTGTGGCCTTGTGCCGTGTGGCCTTGTGTCGTGTGGATGCGGTATGCGAATGTGTACGTCGTGTTTTGTGGTTATGTGAATGTACGTCAAATAAAAATAAAAAGAAAAACATAAAGAAAAACATAAAATTATTTGGCGGACCGATTCATTTTCCAATTAACTTCTTTTTTACAAAGGAAATCATTATTACAACGAAAGCTTACTCCTCGGGCTGATATGCATCTCGAAGCATTCTGCAATGAGAATGAGACTGGACTACAATGTTTTTTCCAATAAATAAATAATATCCATACGATCTTGGGTGGACATACACAAAATGGTAAAAGCTTATTGACCACATGACTAATTAAGTCTACAAAAATTAATAATAATAATATTAAATAATAATAATGAAAATAAAAATGATAAGAATAATAATAAACGTTATTTTAAATTTGATTCAATATTTTTTCTGCCGAAGCGTGACACTTTGTATTGCCGGCTTACAGTAAACTTTTCAAAAATGTTGTGTTTTCATAGTCATATTTTATCATTTTATCATCATCTTCATCTTAGTTAATCACAATATATCAACATAATTACTTTCACTCTCTTTCTCTCTCTCTCTCTCTCTCTTTCTCTCTTTCTCTCTCTCATTCTCTTTCTCTCTCTCAATAGACAGATCAATTTTTCTTCGTGCCCGACATGATATATACATTTCTATGTCTATTTGGATAATTACTATAATTACTTTTATCATTATTATTCTTAGTTATTTTATTCTTTAATTATTATCACAATTACTATTATTATTATTATAGCATTTTACTATATACATATATATTTTAATTTTGATTATCATTGACAATTATTGCTTCTTTCATTTCATGTATGTTTTTACAATGAAAATAAAGAGGTGTTTTCATGATTCTAGATATGATTCTAAATGTACTCAAGACAGTGTAGATACATGTGAAAATTCACGCATCTAAAAGACACAACCTTTGGAATTTTATGTTTTAACAAATAAAATTTAAACTTCAGTCATATAAATTCAGGTTTATATTTTATTTTTCTAGATTTGTCAGTAATCTGGTAGTAGTATAATCATAAAATAGTAATTACTCTTTAACATATTAAACATAACTAGCATAGTTACGACATAAAAATTTGTCTGAAAATATTTTAAAAAGGCGACGAAATAATGTCTTCCATTCCCAACACAGTGTAAACATAGACGATTCATAATAGATATTTCTAAAGAAGATGGAAAAAAATTCATTTTCAAAAAGGGGGGAGAGAAATTTTTTCCTAAAAAGGTGCCAACAACAATATAAAAATAATGATGATGTCGTGATCAGATGAAGGGACATGGACTCAAACATCCAACGCAATAAAAAATTCATTCTTCCATCAACTATTTCTCTCAATTTATTAGTCTTCAAAAATTTTTTCTTTCATTTTTTCATATTTTTTTTCTTTACTTTTTACTTTTTTTAGTTTTTTCTCATTTTTTTGCTGTAAAAATATTCTTTTCCTGTTGACGATTTTAATGTTTAAAATTCTTTTTTCATCGTCGTCGTCGTCATCGTGACATTATCTCGACATCACCATCATCATCATTTTATTCATCATTTTCTTGTTTACAATTTCGAACAAATTTTTTATTGTCTAGACCGCAAATGTTACTTTTTCAATAGTAGATAATTTTTGTGTCAATTTTTTCCCATGTCTGTCTGTAAATGTGTTTATTGGGAAATTGGTGATTTTTTTTCAAAAAAATTGATCATTTTCATTAAGAAGCATAGAATAAATCATATTTTCTTGATGTCTTTGGATATTTAATTCAATATGTAAATTTTCCTTTAAAATAACTTAAAAATAAAAGTTTATTTTCAATCTAATATGGAAATATTCCCTAAAATTCAACATTTTACGAGTGAAAATAAACTTCTAAATAACGATAAACAGTATAACATGGCGGCATGATGGTGTAATAGTTAAGACGCCTGGTTCAGTAGTAACGGGGTTTAATTACAAAGTTAATCTCGCCAATCCCACAAACTGCGTGTAATGAAATGTGAGTGCGTGAGTATAGATATTTTAAAAAATTTTTATCCAAGTGAGAGATGGCATAAACACTCGCAAATACCACAGCAAACATTAACGAAAATTTTACTGGAAACTACATTACTACACAGAAAGAACAATTTTAACTCAGCATAACATTAATTACAATGACATTAACTTGATTAAACGCTACAACGACATCAACTAAAGCAGCGTAACATCAATTTTTACAACATCATCACTAACAACAACAACAACATCTGCAGCAACAAACAACAACATCTGCAGCAACAAACAACAACATCTGCAACAAACAACAACATCTGCAACAAACAACAACATCTGCAACAAACAACAACATCTGCAGCAACAAACAACAACATCTGCAACAACGAACAACAACATCTGCAACAAAAAACAACAACATCTGCAGCAACAAACAACAACATCTGCAGCAACAAACAACAACATCAATAATAATAATAATTTAAGGACACTTCTCAAAATTGTTTACACACGCGCCCTTCGAAATTTAATCGCAAGAATTTTTATATTAAAAATTGGCCGCCGTGTTTTGCTTGGAATTTTTTCATTA